GTCTTCTCCGATCATCGGACATCCACCTCTTCCCTGCCCCGCCCAGCTTCTCCAATTATTGGCCCGGGGCGGGCAAAGGCGGCCCGGTTCTCCGATCACACCACCCGGCTCTTGGCTGCCACCTGGGTTTCAGATCACTGTCAGCGGCAGGTGGCTTCTTCGGCTTCTTCTGTTCTTCCCCTTTCGCCTCCCAGCATTGCGCCTATGTATGCAAATTAACCGCCATCTTTGTTGGCAGTTAATTTGAATATCACCCTGATTAGCCAATGGGAAGCGTAGTGAAGGTACAGTCAATTACCCTTTTGTCTTTTATTAGATAGGATTAGAGGCCCGGTGCATGAAATTCATGCATGGGGGAGGGGGGGAGGGGGGGTGTCCCTCAGCCAGGCCTGCACTCTCTCCAATCCAGGACATCCCTCTCACAAACCTGCCTGCCTGTCTGATTGGCCCCTAACCACCTCTGCCTGCCGGCCTGATCGCCCCCTAACTGGCCTCCCCTGCCAGCCTGATTGCCCCCTAACTGCTCTCCCCTGCCAGCCTGATCGCCCCTAACTGCCTCTGCCTCAGCCCCTGCCACTCTGGCTTTGTCCGGAAGGACGGCTGGAAGATGTCCAGTCTAATTAGCATATTACCCTTTTATTAGTATAGATGTCACGCCAATAAATTTAATAATAAAAAAAATGAAAATAATTCTGGATAGTTTCCCTTCTCCACTGTGACAATGGATATTCTTACTTAAAGTCTCAATTCCAAAGATTTTGGGGGAATGGAAGGGAATAGCCACAGTACTGAAAAAAATCTTTAGCCTTTTAAAAGTAAATAGCATAATCTTTAGTCCAGATATTCACAATATAAAATGTCTGAGATCAAGAGGACAGAAATATAAACAGAAATACCTATATCATTTTGCACATCTCATTTCACTTATTACAGGTTTGTATATTTGCACCAAAACATTTATTTGATTTCTAAAAGGTCTGACAAGGCATAAATAAAGATCCTGCCAGGATCTGTCCAGTCACAAACACTGATGTTCAAAAAGAAACAATAAATAGACTTTAGGGCCCTAACTGGTTTGGCTCAGTGGATAGAGCTTTGGCCTGTGGACTGAAAGGTCCCAGGTTCGATTCCGATCAAGGGTATGTACCTTGGCTGCGGGCACATCCCCAGTAGGGGGCGTGCAGGAAGCAGCTGATCGATGTTTCTCACTCATCAATGTTTCTAACTCTCTATCCCTCTCCCTTCCTCTCTGTAAAAAAATCAATAAAATATATATATATTTTTAAAAAATAGACTTTAGGGACACCTACTGGCTTATTCAATATCACAATCTTTCAATATGGTATTAGGGACTCAGAACTCTTATTTCCAATTAAGTCACCACTTCAAACATTTATTTATTTGAATAATCCAATAAATGACAACATCTTTCCTGTCAAATTAAGAATTCCTTATGATTTCTGAGCCCTGACTAAATTACTATTACAGAGTGGTACTAAATAAATGGAGTAACAGCCCTGCCATTGCTTAAAAATTCAAAGCTCTTTAGTATAATAACCAGTAAAACAATTTACTGTGTTATATACATATTTTATGTGTAAGATATTAAATAAGTATACATAAATCTCAGATACTGTCCGTTTGAGTAAGTTACATAGCAGAACTACATGTACTGAAGCTACCCAATAACAAAGGATACACTCTTTTGGAAGATTCTCTAGTTTTTCAAGATTACTTTTCAGAGAAATTTGTGTAAAACTATGTTTTATGTAGATTACCAGAAGCAAAACAGGTAATGCTGGCTCTACCTATCTTTCTCATTTCTGTTATGAAAGCCAAGGAATAATATATATAAAAAAGATGAGATTTCAAAGTAAAAGTGCTTTATAAGGAATTAAGTTACTACCTCATTTCAATTAAGCCAGAAAAATCACTTTTATGTCATTTATTAAGATATAAAAAAACTAAGTGCATGACTTAAAATCATACCCTCTTGTCATTATTTTTTTTTTAAATATATTTTATTGATTTTTTACAGAGAGGAAGGGAGAGAGATAGAGAGCCAGAAACATCGATCAGCTGCCTCCTGCACATCTCCTACTGGGGATATGCCCGCAACCAAGGTACATGCCCTTGACCGGAATCGAACCTGGGACCTTTCAGTCCGCAGGCCGATGCTCTATCCACTGAGCCAAACCGGTTTCGGCTCTCTTGTCATTATTAAAGAATCTTCCTATGATTAGCTAACAAATTATATAAACTGAGGAACTAATTAATATGACTTTAATATTCAAGCAATTCAAACAGCTTTTCTATTTGAAAGTACAACATGTCTTATTAGAGAAAACATGTGCCCTAACCGGTTTGGCTCAGTGGATAGAGAGTTGGCCTGCGGACTGAAGGGTCCCAGGTTCGATTCTGGTCAAGGGCATGTACCTTGGTTGCGGTCACATCCCCAGTAGGGGGTGTGCAGGAGGCAGCTGATCGATGTTTCTCTCTCATCAATGTTTCTAACTCTCTATCCCTCTCCCTTGCTCTCTGTAAAAAATCAATAAAATATATTAAAAAAAAAAAATGTTGTCTGTGTCTATAAGTTTTAGAAAATTGAGGCAAAAATAAAAATTGCTTACGTTCTTACCATCAGAAGTTAACATTAATACTTTAGTGTATTTATCCCTAGTGTATGTGCTATACATTTATAAATATACATTTTATAAGTACTGCGCACTAACCGATTGCACCACTGGAGCCCCTATAAATATACATTTTAAAACCAAAAATCAAGCATGTATATATGTGCGCATACACACACATTTTGTTAACATTTCTTATATCAGGAACATTATCCTATGTCAATAAATATTCTTTGAAACTGTTTTAAATGGCTGCATTCTAAAGAATATTTCTAAGGCATGAAATCAAATATTTAGAAAGATAAGGTGTACACCACTCACTCACTGTTAGTAGTCAACTTGGCAGTATTTATGTCATAACCCATGATACTGCGATTCCTAAGAGAAAATCCCAATTTATGCAAGAAGGCACTTATAGAGATAACTGGTAATGCAGTCACCCCTGGAAAGGGGAACAAGATGACACAACAAGGGATGGAAGTAGGAAGACCACCACCTTTCATTATATGCCCTTTTGTATTCCTCCCTTTAATGCCTCCCTAGGGCACGGAAGCAGTACTTACCAGAATTTTATCAGCTTTGGCTTCACTAATCCCCTTAATATTTATTAGCTCCTTTTTCGGTGCATAGGCCACAGCCTCCACAGTATGGAATCCAGCTTCTTCCAATTTCTTCACATCATTGGCATTTATGCCACATTGCTGCGAGTGAAGAAAACCATGGGTTAATTTAAACTTCAGTTTTCTCATCTGTCTAATCTGGATAATTTGCCCTACCTACTCACAGAGTTGTTTGGAATACAAAAGCTTTGAAAACTGTGCCCTAAACATAAGGTATTTATTTAATTACCAAAACCAGGAGTTTTAGACTAGAACTATCCCATATACATTAAGTGGATTAAACTAGTAACTTCTAACCACTGGAAATAAACCTGTAACTCTCAACCTTTTATAACTGGGACTTTAAATGAACTTTGAGACCCTGGGTCCTAAAAGGCCACTTTAAGCCAGTACTTCCCAATGTTTTTTACATCAAGCACACATAAAAAATGATATTTTTTACACTAAACTGGGGTTAGGAGATGAGGCTGCCCCAGAGCTGAGGGGAGCACTATCTTAGCATATCAATAATCTTTTTGGAGCCCTAACCAGTTTGGCTCAGTGGATAGAGCGTCGGCCTGCGGACTGAAGGGTCCGGGGTTCGATTCCGGTCAAGGGCATGTACCTAGGTTGCAGGCACATCCCTGGTAGGGGGTGTGCAGGAGGCAGCTGATCGGTGTTTCTCTCTCATTGATGTTTCTCTCTATCCCTCTCCCTTCCTCTCTGTAAAAATAAAAAATAAAAATAAAAAAATAATCTTTTTGGAGAAAAAACAATTTTTTTGTAATACAATGACTAGAAAGTTCTGCTCTAACCATTGACACGGAGAATGGGGAAAACTGCTTTTAGTCACAGACTGTATATCACTTCTTTCCCCCTATATACAAAGTCAGCTTTGATTTTATTAGCCACCGAAAGCATGACTTCTGGGAGAGTATGAGTTGGAGGTATGCGACTGTATTAGGGAATCAGGGAAGGTTTGGGAGATGAGATAATAATACTTGCCCATAGAAACCATGTCTGCTATTAGTATTTAGGCAATAAGCAATACACGTGTGCATATAACGCCACAAACCTATTTGTAACTTCTGGAGTCTTGAAGCCTAGCTGGGGATGGAAATAACATGCATAAAGAGACAGAAAAATGAAGGCTTTCTCTAATTTTCCTCCTACTTCAGCCGATGTACCTGCATTCATACTGGGGCCTCCGTATAATGAGCAGAAACAGTGCAAGGCCCTGGCTCTAGTGCTGGATGTTCTTGTGCAGATTCCTGAATAGAGCCAGGCTCTTATACCTTAACTAGAGGCCCAGTGCACAAATTCATGCACCAGTGGGGTCCCTCAGCCTGGCCTGTGGGATTGGGTGGAAACCGACTCTCCAACACCCCCTAAGGGACACCGGATTGCGAAAGGGCGCAGGCCAGGCCGAGGGACCCCACTGGTGCACAATCAGGGCCAGGGAGGGATGCAGGAAGTTGGCCAGCCAGGGAGGGACCACAGGAAGGCACCAGGGCGTGTGTGGCCCATCTAGCTCAGTCCCGATCAGCTGGACCCCAGCAGCAAGCTAACCTACTGGTTGGAGCGTCTGCCCCTGGTGGTCAGTGCACATCATAGTGAGCGGTTGAGCAGCCTTAGCATATCATTAGCATATTACCCTTTGATTGGTTGACCGGATGACCGGATACTTATCATATTAGGCTTTTATTATATAGGATAACTACAAGGCCTTCTCCTTGACCATGACAGTTGTCTTGCTAGTAACTTCAGCACATATCTGGGTCTTTCCTCTCTGCATCACCAGTCAGGCCACTGTAATTCCCTGGAAAGTTGTTTAATACAACTATTGTTTAATACTTAGTACAAACAACAGACTCTACCATGGGACACTAGGGGTTCTTCATTTCTGACAATCCAGCTCTGAGAAAGAAAAGTGACAAAGTAGGAGGAGAATTCTTGACAAGAGATCTGCTCTGACATGTTTTGCAACTATCTTAAGCCTTTCCACAGGAGCCTTGACAACCCTTCTGAAAACTAATTTGGGTCTTGATCACAGGTATAAAGCAATCTCTATATATAAAAGCCTAAGTGACTGTTATGACCGAACGACCTGAATGACCAGTCGCTATGATGCGCACTGACCACCAGGGGGCAGAAACTCAACGCAGGAGCTGCCCCCTGGTAGTTAGTGCACTCCCACAGCCAACCTCCCCCAGCCAGCCAACATACTGCGGTCCCTCCCCGCAGCTGGCAGGCCCTGGCTGGGATAGGGAACTGGGGGTGGGTAGCGGCGGATGCGACCCCTTTCCCAGGGGGCCCGAGGGCCGGCTCCCTCCTTGGGGCTGGTGGCCAACCTCCTGTGCCCCGTCCCTCCCCCCTGCCAGCAGGCCCCAATCGGTCCGCTGCCGACCCACTGTGGTGGCGGCACAGTGGCGAGGGAAGGATGGGGGGAGGAGGGGAACCACAGGGTGGCCTAGGGACCCCACCTGTGCACAAATTTCGAGCACCGGGGCTCTAGTGGTTTATATAAAGGCTGTGATTTTTCCCAATAGGTAGAAGAATCTAGACCAGCTTTAAAATTCCCAAATTAGCAATTAAGCACATTACCTCTAATCGTGAAATAGGTTGTGGGCCAAAGCTCTCTTCTTCCACTGAAGTATCTGCATTTGCTTCAAGCTGCATCTGCATAGCCATTACTCAGCGTTCAATACTGAAAAATATAGATGGCCATCAGGGAGAACACTAGAAAAAGTACAGAGCTGCAAACTTATGTTTGCAATAAATCTCTTAAGAATTACTTCCTAGGCTTTTGGTGTAATCATTGACCTACCTATTTCAAGAAAAAAAACAAATCTCTCACCAGCTTTCCCTTCCACCTAGCTAGTTGTATCAGAAAAACTTTAGGAAGAGCCAGGACTATTCTGTTTCTTAAAAATGCAAAGCTTAGCCCTAACCGGTTTGGCTCGGTGGATAGAACGTTGGCCTGCGGACTGAAGGGTCCCGGGTTCAATTCCGGTCAAGGGCATGTGCCTTGGTTGCGGGCACATCCCCAGTGGGGGGTGTGCAGGAGGCGGCTGATCGATGTTTCTCTCTCATCGATGTTTCCAACTCTCTATCCCTCTCCCTTCCTCTTTGTAAAAAATCAATAAAATATATTTTTTTAAAAAATGCAAAGCTTAACTAGATCAACTATGTCCCCATTCTCCTCCTTCATATTCCCTGAGTGTAGGGCCAAGCCTTTTTTGTTTGTATATACTCCATGATACATAATAAATGTTAGGTGTTGGGTAAATGAATGCAGACTTTCCAAGACTCTACTTCAAGGCCCACAACGAATATTTTTGTGGCCCAATGTAAGAAACATTTTAATAAAAATTTCGTAACTTATTTTTTACAATATCCTGTTATGCATAATTATTAATAACGAACTACAACATTTGCTAATGGCTGATTACTATAATCGTGTTGCATTCATTTCCCTTACGCACCTTACATGCAGGTGCACCATTTCTCTCCACTAATACTAGCAGTGAATATTTTAGCAGCCAATTGCCACATCATTAGTCTTGGACTGACTTGTATGGTGTGCGCAACAGGAAATATTTCACTTTCGGAGAACAAGAAAAATAGGTTTACGTACGTTACGCTTATTAATTTGTGCAGTTATTCCTTGTCTGGTAAGCTAATGTTCAAGAAAAAATATTAACTTTTATTAAAATGTTCCATTATTTTATGTTAATGATTACTCATTTATTTCAGCCCTTTGAATTCAGCATGTCTCTATTGAAATAAACCTACGTTTCTATGAAAATTTGAAGCTTGTTTTTTTTTGCGGGCCCACATAAGCTTAAACCTTGTTTACTTGGCCCGTGTTAGCCTTTGAGTTTGATGTGCTTGCTCTACTTAAAATGGAAAGAAAAAAATTTTTTTTTTAAATGAAAGGTTAAATTGCTTCAGTTCCATTGTTCCCTTCCAGCAAGGAGGAGCTGGAGGTGGTGGGATAGGACTGAAATAAATGTACAGAGTGACTGCCCATAGCCTCCATTCCTGATACAGTGGACTGATATGAGAGAAGTACTTCCCATCTTAGGCAAGGATCATAGCTTGTAGTTACACATTATGCTCCTAATAGGAGTGTATGAAATTTAAGTTCAACATTTTAATCAATTCCATACTTCAGGGAAATGTGCAATGAATAAATAACATGCAAGTACCCTGCTCAGTCTGAAATCTTCCATTTAAGCATAAGGGCTATACCTAAAGGGTGATATACGATAGAGTAGATGCTCAGTGAAAAGAAGAACCGAGAACAAAAATTTTTTAAATTATCTTCAAGAGAATTTTATTAGTAA